CGCGGGTATCGAAACCCGATTTTTAGCGTCATAAATTCCCCGGAGCCACTGAGTTAAATATGTTGCAGGAGGATTAACCAGAAATCCATTCAGTTTCCCAGCTGATCCGATATCGTAAAACAGAAACAATACAGGACGATGTTTAGTGTTTATATTATAAACATGCGATTGAAAGGCGAATGAAATAAAGAACAAATAAACAGATAGACGGAAAAATACATTAAACGTTGGAAGGGCAGGTGTATAAATAAATGTACGGGAAAATTAACAAGAGATCAAAAGTGTTACATTTCTGTGGTTTCGCTTGTTTTTCTCGTGGAAACTCTCGTTGGTTTCGAGATGTTTCTGGGCGTTTGGCTCGTGGGGCCTTGTTCAATCGTCCTTCGTCTTGTTCAGGATACCAGGAGATATGCCTAGCTTTATTGAGATAACATTTTGGGTCAGTGGGTTCTTTTTCGTAACCATAGTTTTCGATGTTCTAATGAACGTGCACCTCCAGATTTTGTTGGAGTGTGTTTTAAGGGGCCACTTAATGACCTAAATTTCCAGCGAGTTGTGGAAAAAAATTTAAAGACTCATTTCTTATGGCTTCACACCTTTAACACTCTCGCTATACGAATATCCTTCCTCTGAAACAGCTGTGACTTATTCTCTTGTCCAAAGTCTACCCTGGTGGCGCTGCAGTGTCGAATGGTCTAGAATTTATCATGATTCAAATACATGGGTATTAAATTTGTCGCCCGTGGCGCCAGGCTTGCAACTATAGCAACGTACGATACACCACTATATTAGCATATGTAACTCGTTCTTATAAAGTACAATTAATCCTTTGTTACAGACATGTGTGATTATTCTACCCAGAATGCACTATTATGTTTAGTGGAAGTTTTAAGATCCATTTCAATGCGTATTGCTTTGGGGTGTTATAGAGAAGCTTTATGCTTGCATTGTTGTTACGGTTATTGTTTCTTAATTAGTGATTCTAGTTAACATACAGATAGAACAATGTAACCCTGACAGAACTCTCCTCCACGTGAGCAATTCTTAAGTGATTTTATTCAACACGTTAAAAAAATGGTAAATTAGGTTTCTGTAGTATACCTAATGCAACACACACATTGTTAAACAATAGAAGTAAAACGCATAATTGATGTACGGAGGCTATATGTACTAGCTTAACAGAAACATTGTTGATACGCTACCTTGGAAACGCTTCACGTCATTAGTTGTATAAGCGAGACATACTGGATCGATATTTTTCTCATTGGTCAACTGGTATCTAAGAAACCGACGTATTTTATTACCTGATCTAACCATAGAGACAGGCTTAGCGAGGTCCATGGTTTCCTACCACAATTTTGTGAGCCTGTATCACTCTTTATGATCTTTTCAGTTAAATGTCTACGTGGTAATTACTGGTCGTTTTTCAAAACCTGCTCACGGATTTTTTGGCCCTCTCTCTCTGTCTTTTATCTAAAAGATAAAGTAGAGATTGTTTAAATTGTTTAAAAATTTATAGCATCCAAGTTAAGTACAATTAAATGTCGGCTGAACTAAGAACGATAATTAAATCCCTTACAATGTGACAGTTTTAAACAGGTTAACTACTGTAGGTTTTGTGCACAGAGTGAGAGAGATAGAAAAAAACAGATAGTTAGATAATAAACAGAAGATAAATGAATACAGACAAACTAATAGACAGATGAATGAAGAGATACAGAGACAGATAAATTGGCAAACAGACAGCTAAATGAATGGACAGACACACTAATAGACAGATGAATGAAGAGATACAGAGACAGATAAATGGGCAAACAGACAGCTAAATGAATGGACAGACACACTAATAGACAGATGAATGAAGAGACACAGAGGCAGATAAATTGGCAAACAGACAGCTAGATGGATGGACAGACACTAATAGACAAACAGATATGACTGAAGAGACAGAGAGATAAGTGAACAGACACATACACGAACGGATAGAGAGATAGATGTATGGGCAGACAAGAAGAGAGAAAGATGAAGGAACGGACAGACAGATAGTAAGGTAGATATAAAAAATAACACCTGAAGAAGTAAACCACTGTTTTGAATTTATATTTCTACCGGTTCCCCTGTGTTTCCTTCGATATCATTAACTGTTTAGTGAACTGCTGTGTTACGTATAGTTAACAGTTCATACAACAAGTCGTTCGTGTTTAACATTCATGCACACCGTAATAGATGACGATTTTGGAATTTTGTTATAATGAAAATAAATGCGAACATTTTCAATAAAACGTCTTTTTTTTTTGCTTTTTTTTAAAGTGTCATTCTACAAATTATGGTGTTGATACACAATATTAGTTATTCAAAAAACGAGTTTACACCACGCTGGAGAATTAAATATTTCAATACGAGCTAACTTTCGAATCTCTGCAAGGTCACGAACAACATGAAAACGTTTGTCCTGTTTTGACTTTGTCCCAAATTTGGAACCGATAGACTAAAGAGAAGGCAGCTAGTCAGCACCACCCACCGCCAACTCTAGGTCTACTCTTTTACCAACGAAAACTCGAATTGACCGTCACATTATAACGCTCTCACGGCGCAAAGGGCGAGCGTGTTTGGAAACGGGATTCGAACCCGCGACTCGCGGATTGCGAGTCGAGCGTTCTAACCGTCAGAAAATGCGATGATTCTTCAATATTCCAATCAATCTCATAACCCCCCTTTTAATGCTTAATATTGTGTAGCCTAATTGTCGTGTCTAACGCAGGAGTTGACATCATTATTCTTGCACTTTGAATACGTGAGTAAAAAATATACTTTTTAGTTAACACTTTACAGTTACATCAATCTCGCTTCAGTGACTCCAATGATCTAAACAAACCAATTATCGTTCACTTCGTTTCTTTTGACTGGCATCTGATTTTATCATTTAAGTGACTTACAAGTCTTTTTTCAAGTTTACAGCTGAAAGTCAAAAATGTTCTCGTAATAAGCGTGCCACATCCGAAAGAACCATAGCATCAGAGAAGCGAAATATTTCTTCTAAATTACCTGAAATCAAAGCACGTGATTGTTTTACACTCTCGTGAGTTCCTCGTGCCTTTATTCGGAAGAAAAAAAAAAGAAAATCAACCCAGAAAGATGTTATTGATCTGACGAAGTGGAAGAGCGTTGCACAGGGCCTAGTAAATGGTTTGTTAAACGCTTATTGATTCACGGGTCCTCTTGTATCAACCAACGATTTGTAAATTTTCAAGTAGCTACCTTGTGTACTCGTAAGCGTAGAAACCTTGGTAAGAACCAATTAGTTAATCCTCTCTTACAAGACATGAAAAAAAAAAAACGTGACGCAACGTATCAACCATCGAGTTGTGTAAGTGCGTTGTGAACCTGTCAGATGAGTTGTATATATATTAGAAAACGTAAAAGGTTTTGTTGCAGAATTAAGTCTACCGAGTAAGGCCCCCCCAATGGCACGGCTGTATGTCTGCAGACTTGCAACGCTAGAATCCGGGTTTCGATACCCGTGGTGGGCAGAGCACAGATAGCCCATTGTGTAGCTTTGTGCTAAATTACAAACAAAACAAAACAAAACTACCGAGTAATATGTTAATTAGCAGAACGCTTATTGTTATATTTTTATTTTTTGTCACGTAGTTATCACAGAATACTTTATTCTTTTGTTAGTTTTTTGTTTTTTAATCACATTGAATGAACTATCTGCAGTGTCCATGGGAGACGCACCCCGTTTGTCCCATCGGGGGGGGGGGGGCTACAAGAAATATAAGCAATGCAAATACAACAAACAAGAAATTATCCATGTTTTAGATCAGTTTATAGTCAGTAATCAGTTTATGGCTTTGTGTTTTCCAAGTATTTAAAAAAATAAATACGGAAATATAACTGAAAGCATTTATTTTCATCGTCTGATTTTTAGTCCTAGAAAGAACAATGGACCTTTTGTGAATCACAGTACTTGTTGGTCTGTGATTCTGACGGTTCGTAATAACACATGAGCATCCTAACAACACATAACACACGACGATGTTTAAACAACTACAACAACAACAACAATAATATCAATTATGAAATTAATCCCAAAAATTACTGTCAGAATTCTCTACTTTATTTTACATGAAAAATGATTGTTTTTTTTTCAACCAGATTTGCTTTGGGTTAGTTATTTACATAGGTCGTTGTATTTTATATTTGGAGTTAAGCCCAAAGCTACAGAATGGGCTATTTGTGCTGTGCCCACCACGGAGGGAGGGGGCTGAGAGTTGTGATAAGCGACGACCGGCGGTGAACGAAAAAAAAACGAGTCTGTTCTTAGTAAACAAAAAACACATGTGCTGACATTTTACAGTTTTCTTTGCTTATTTTAGAGCAAAGCCAAATTTGGCTGGCTATCTGTTGTGTCCACCTCGGGGAATCGAACCCCAGATTTTGGCTACCCAAGTCTGTAAATTTTACACGGGGGATTCTCCATAGTTGAATATCATATAGGAATTAACGCATCCTTTCAAGAACTTCGAGCGAAACGCCACATCGCATAAACAAAGTATATTACGTTTCACTTGGTTTGAAATACTCAAAATTGAGAACCGGTTGAAGGCTGCCTGAACTGCGAATATTATGGCTCAAGGTTCGAATCCCGTTGTACCACCTTCCACTCCCCACCCCCAAGAGAACTGCGAACTTTGTGGCCAAGGGTACCTTATAAAAGTGACTAATAAATCTGTTGCAGTACGGAGCTGTTGACTTTCGCTTTAGTTCTATCACTTCAAAATTCCATGAAGCGGGCGAGGCATTCATTGACTGGATCATGACTACGAATTTGGAGGTGTGAGAAACACCATACGCAACTACTACTACTTCCAAATTAGGGGACAGCTATGCGCATTTCGTGTAGCTCTCCGCGAAATTCTTAAAACAAGCAAACTTATAAACTGAGTGGTGTTGTAAGGGCTATTGAGAGGTTATAACTTCCGTTCCGTTTCCTTCAGATATCAATACAAGAGGCTAATCCTGCTTATTTCGGTATTGGAGAAGGATATCACGAGAATATTGCTTTGAAGAAAACGCACCGGTAGCTTGGAAAAAAAAAGGAATGTAAGTATAAACAATATAGTTGTGATATTTATTAACTTCTCTAAGGCTCTTACGAAGAGATCGAAGTAAATCTCTGTGAATTTCATAAAATAAATGTATGACGTTATCCTTGGAAGCGTAAGAGATTACAAAATAGTTCAAAACGATAGTTAAGAAACTTGTGTCTTTGAGGATGGTTTGGCTTGATTTTCAAACAGATGAAAGGCAGCAGAAATGTAGTGGCGGCGATTAAAGAATGATAAAAGTCAAGCTCATTCCATAGATGCATGAAACTGTTCACCTTTGTCATTTAATCCGGGTACACTACTGTCCACCTTTGTTTTTTAATCCGGGTACACTACTGTCCACCTTTGTCATTTAATCCGGGTACACTACTGTCCACCTTTGTTTTTTAATCCGGGTACACTACTGTCCACCTTTGTCATTAAATCCGGGTACACTACTGTCCACCTTTGTCATTAAATCCGGGTACACTACTGTTCACCTTTGTTTTTAATCCGGGTACACTACTATTCACTTTTGTTATCTAATCCGGGTAAAATACTATCCACCTTTGTTTTAATCCGGGTACACTACTGTCCACCTTTGTCATTAAATCCGGGTACACTACTGTCCACCTTTGTCATTTGGAGCGTGCGTATTAACGGTTTTAGGGACAAAAGATGGAAGCAATTAAAAAGTTTGCCTTTTTTTATTTGTGAGAATGTTTATATTTTACGTTTGTTTGTTTCGAGCAAAGCTGCACAAAGGTTATCTACTGATAAGACTGGAAAAAAAAGCACTTTGTTGAAGGGCACACATCGCCAATTCTTGGGCTACTCTTGTCTTGTTGGCGAGCCGAATTGTTAATCCGAGGGTCAAAGGTTATCGTAACACTGCGATCCAAACTCTGTGGCCGTTTTAAGAGTGACGGTCAGATCACACTATTTCGATTAGAGTAGCCCAAGAGTTTCCGGAGGGTGTTGTGTTCTGACCACTTTTTGTATAGTTTTTTCAGTTCAGAATTAGGGAGAGCTGGTTCACGTACTCTCTGTGTATACGAAACAAATAAACACACGAAACCTTTCAGATGTAAAGATAATTTATCTTGTTTCGCTAACACCATACTTACCAATAGTATACACGTCTATGGGACGGACCAGAAAGTCCAAGGTTCGAGGCGCCTTACATACTGAACACGGGGTAAAGGTTTATAGCTGTGATAATGAAATTAAAACTAGCTCTTTAGGCGACGGGTGCTGTAGACTGGTTGCCCTTCCTCTGGGATGACTATGCTTGAACTCTGACCTGGCCATTTTTGCCTGTGCGTTCCATAAGATACCGTTAAGTTGAAAAACATCGAAATCTCTATAAATTATTAAATTTCACTCCAAACCTGGTAACAGTTCAAGTCTTACGTTTATATGTATTAATCATATATATATATATATATATATACTATTTATTTACAGACAACAAGAAAAATACAAGTCGATATAATGGTATTGTACATTCCTGTTTTGTTTAATTAGTATTTA